AGCAAATAAAAAAACAATCCCTTTGTTCTCTAAATGTTTTTGAACCACAAACATCACCTATTTTTGTTGAAAAAGAAGCTGAGAAAACCTCACTTTTTGAAGAGGAAGAAAAAATTGAGCATAGGGTAGAGGAGATAACCAAGAAGAAATCACGGCTTTACTGGAAAAGGCCAAAGAGGAAGAATGAAACAAGGGATATTCACGATCCCACATAAAGCAAAAAAATAAAAATAAAAATAAACGTCGTGCTACGACAATTAAATAAGGCGCTTCTTGGGAGGCAACCCAAGTTTCTATTGTGTTTATTTACATTTTTTTTTGTGTGTGTGTGGGAAAACCTTTTCAAAAAAAAAAATGGGCAGTACACCCGACCGGGTCTCTCATTTCACCCGGCCGGGTGTATTTGTTAAATGGCCCCTGGAGTAAAGAACCCGACTGGGTGCAACAGACCACCCGACCGGGTCAACTGACAAAAAAAAAAAAAAAAAAAAAAAAAAAAAAAAAAAAAACTCACTGCCTCCGGAGAACCTTTACACCCGACCGGGTCACATACACCACCCGACCGGGTCGTCGAATTTTGACCTCAAAACCAGACGGGCTCAATCGTCTTCAACCTTCTTCTTCCCCAAATCAAAAACCCTCTCCAATTCTTCTACCGTTAAACACCAAAAAAAAAAAAAAAAAAAAAAAAAAAAAAAAAAAAAAACTCACCCCTCACTCAACCAAATCCATCAATTAACACCATATATTTTTTTTTTCCTCCTCTTCATTTTTTTTTCCTCCTCTTCACCCTCTTCACTTCTATATCCACAAAACCAAATCAAAGCCACTCATTCACAAAAATCCAAAATTGCCATCTACCCCCCCCCCCCCCAAAAAAATGGACAGACACCAAAAAGAGCAAAGAGATTCATCCTTTTGGACATCTCGGACACAAGCACTAGGGACAGTGCTTTGATTAGCTTGGGGGGAGAGTTTCACGGAATACTCACATTTCATTCTTGTTCAAAAAAAAAAAAAATTAATGAAGCAAAAAAAAAAAAAGAGCTTGTTAAGTTGAAAACCTGAAAAGGCAACTTAAGCAAAAATAAAGCAAAAAAAAAAAAGAGTGAGTTGTGAGGATAAAAAAAAAGGAGAGAGAAAATTGGGAAGCTGGGATGAAAACCCGAAAGGGCACCTAGGCAAAATGAGAGAACGAGAGAAAGTATTTTCTTTTATTTCTGCAGGATCCTAAGGGTAACAATAAAAAAAAAATTGAGGTTGATAACAAAATGTGGAGTTGAAGACCCCTCTTTACTCTTATATTTGTGGGGATATTTTTGTGTTGTTCTACAAACACACGTGGATGTTGGTGTTGATACTCTTGTCATTTTAAGGACTTCTTGGGCTGGATTTTGTTTACTCGAGACGAGTAAAGGTTCAAGTGTGGGGGTGTTTGATATGCACTAATTAGTAGTGCACAAGTGTATGTTTTTTACGTATGATTTGTGTGGTTTGTTTACCGTTTTATTTAGTTTGTAAACATTTGTGTGATTTTAGTTGTAATTGTATTTTAATCTTCATTTGTAAGTTGTAAAGTAGAGTTAGGAATTAGGGTGTTGAAAAGGAGGACTTTGAAGTGAAGAAAAATAAGATTTGGCTGCCCAGAAGCACAAACCCGACCGGGTACAATACTTCACCCGGTCGGGTATGACAAAGAATCAGAAACTGCTGAGAAAGTCACTAGACCCGGGCGGGTCACTTATTTGACCCGGTCGGGTCAGATGTGACCCGGAACACCAGAACATGCCGAAGATCGCCAGAACGTGGGAAATATGTGATTTTGACGTTGACCCGGTCGGGTATGTCCTTTTACCCGGGCGGGTCAATGCCCCAGGGTGTTGAAAACACCTATAAATAACCCCATTTTCCTTCACAAATAATCATCCCTTCTTCCATATACTTAAGCTCAGTTTAGAATAGCATTTCTTTATATTTCTTTTAGCATGTTTAGTCTCCAAATGAGGAGCTAAACTTCCAATTCTTGGTGTTGCTCTTGAAGCTTGTTGATTATTAAAGTTGTGAGTTATTTTCTTAACTTCTTCCCTTGAATATTAATTATTCTCTTAATCTATCTATATATTAATGTTGGGGAGTGTTGCTAAGATGACAATTAGTTAACATCTCGACATTAGTTATAGTAGTATTTATTTTCTTCCTCTATATATTAATGTTGGGGAGTGTTGCTAAGATGACAATTAGATAACATCTTGACATTAGTTATAGTAGGATTATTCATATTTAATCTTCTTCCTTGAATATTAATTCTTCCCTTAATCTATCTCTATATTAATGTTGGGGAGTGTTGCTAAGATGACAATTAGTTAACATCTCGACATTAATTACTACTAGAAACGATCAACGAACCGATGGTTAATCGTTGATGGTTTCACAAGTAAGTAACTTCGGTTTATTAATGCACGGTCGTGGTTAATAAACTTAAGAGGGATTAATTTTGTTGGTTAAACCGAAACCGTTGTGTTGAGGTTATCAATCTCAATTGATTTCATCAAGGAGTTAAGAGATTAAATGCTACTATTAAGTCGGTATATGACGGTGTTCTATACATGACTAATAGTAAGGGTTATTAATGAACGGTCGTTGTTAATAACTACCCTCGATGAATTGGATATACTCCTCGATTGAGTATTCGAGAGGGGATTAGTTATAGATATAACAATGATCGACTAAAATATATCAACAAGTGGAAAGTAGCAATGCCAAGTCCTTTTTATCTTTAAATTAAGTTGTTCATCTTTATGTTTAATTAAGTTAAATCATTCAATCCCAAAACCCCCCTTTTTATTTACTAGTTTTATAAAAAGAGAATTATTCCTTTCCCTGTGGATACGAACTCTACTTCACCTATACTACGTATAAGTGCTAGTATTGAATTTATTTTGAGTGCACTCACGACAAAGTGCACGTCAGGCCACCAAGGAGGGTGTTCGTGAGTCATGACTCATGAGAAGTTTTCTTAATATTACAATAGTAGTATGTATGATATTATTATTTTTAGAATAATATGCACCACATACACACACATATATGGTGCATATTATATTTTAATATTTGTATTGATGCTATAATAATTTAAAGTTTATTATCTATGCAATAAATTATTTTTAGAAAGCAAGAAGTAAATGAATTATGTAATTTAATGTCAATAAACATTTATATTTTGGATTCATTTTACGTGATCTAAAAACTGTGTAATTAGTGTATCTGATATTTAATATTGTTTGATATATATTTTACAAAATCTAATAAAACACTACAAAACAAGTACTTATTATCTAATAAAGATAATTAAACACTACAAAACTAGGAATTCTTATATAATAAGTATCCTAAATCTTAAACAACGAGTTATTCTATTGTTTATTTGATTAAGTTATGTAATTATTTTAGATGTTCCTTCTTTTAAATCTTCAATTAAGTATTACATTATGTAACACTATATATTAATTTTGAAAATTAAAAGATAAGGGGGGCGAATCTAATTAAATTATGAAAGTTCTATGAAAACATTACATATATGGTAGAAAATTTTGAAAGTCCAAGGGGGGCGGTCGCCCCCCCGCGCCCCCCCTAAATCCATCCCTGCCAAACGGGCTCATAATTTTTACTCTATTAATTTAGAGAACGCGTTTTTGGATGCTTGGATAATACTTAATAGCGTTTTCCTTCAAAATTTTTCTAACACGCTGTAAAATACAACGTTTAGGCCTTAAAATCGCTGATTGTGCGGATTTATGGATGTTTAGTCATAAAGTTCCGTATTAAATTCTCCGTATTTGAGACTAATTAGTCGCAAATTGTAAGCGGGTAGAATTGGAACTCAATTTGAACTACAGCGCATGTAGAAAAATGTGTGTGGGGCTATCTCGCAGGTGGGAGTCATGCGTGTAGCATGCCCATTTCTGGTAGTGACCCCATGGACAGGTGTCAGACGATTCTCTATTTCCTCTCTGCTTCTATTCTCTTTGCGGCGCACTTTCCTACTGCCTTTTCTGGCGTTTTACCCACTATTTTGTACTACTCCCTTTTCATAGAATTTGCCCAATTTGCCTATTTAATCGTTTTTTTTATCATGCCTATTTAATCGTTATAAAAATGTTTTTCAATTCTATTTAATGGTTAATTGTTTATCAAAGTTGACTTACATGTAAATTATAAAGAAAAAAGTGTTTGGTTCAAATTTGTGCAGAGGAAAGAAACAAATTAAAGTTAGCCGCATATTATTTACTTTAAACGGAAATGACAAAGTTTTTCGAGACGGGCAAAAATGGAAATTTGGCCAAGTTTATGCGACGGAGGGAGTAATAAAGATGTCGTTAAAGGCATTTCATTTATCTCTATACAAATTGCAATCCCATAATTTTCACTTTAATATTTAACCGGTAAAGTTTGGCCAAATTTTGTGGGACATAAGTAAAATAAAAAAATTGTATATACTCTGTCGGTGGAAATTATTTTTTATTTTTGAATAATCATTAAGGGACAATTTTTTATTCTCGCAGCCTCAAATTGAGTTGCAAAATTCACTTTTTTAAATCAAACATACTCATTTTGTTCACTTAATTAGGATATCAATTCTTGATTATATTGTACGAGTAATTTGTATTTTGTAATTATATAGAAATTGTAATCTTAGTTTCTGAATATGTAAATTTAATTATTAAAATTGAACTAATTATCGATATGATGATTTAAACTTTAACATTTATTGATTAAAAAATGTTGATTTTAGGAAAGAATTGAAATTGAAACGAAAGTATATCAATTAAGATGTTTATTTTTGTATTGGCAATCAAGATTCATGGAAATGACTGACCGACTTAGCATGGCCCCAAGAGTAGGGCTAATTTTGTATTGGCAATCGATTTATGGATTTGTGACATAAGAGATGACGCGAGCACATTTTTGTTTCTTTTTTTATTTATCTCCTCATATAAATAGCCGAGTGTAGTGGGGGATAAGGCAACAAGCATTCCTCCCTCCACCAAACATTACACAATCTAGCATCAAGCTTCCTACGCTATCAATCAAATTAACCAACTCATCAAAATATGAATCTCTTGTCCAAAAAAATCACAACCGATTCGCATGGCCAAGACTCCTCTTACTTCCTGGGATGGCAAGAATACGAAAAGAATCCTTACGATGAGACCCGCAATCCCAAAGGAATCATCCAAATGGGCCTCGCCGAAAATCAGCTCTCATTTGATCTTCTCGAATCCTGGTTGGCTCAGAACCCGGAAGCCGCCGCCTTTCAGGGTGACAATGGAGGCGAATCCATTTTCCGGCAGCTGGCACTCTTTCAAGATTATCACGGCCTTCCTTCCTTCAAGAAGGCTATGGTTGAGTTTATGTCAGAAATCAGGGGAAACAAGGTTTCATTCGATTCCGACAACCTCGTCCTCACCGCCGGCTCAACTCCCGCCAACGAGACGCTCATGTTCTGTCTCACCAACCCCGGCGACGCTTTCCTAATCCCCACTCCATACTACCCAGGATTTGACAGAGACTTGAAATGGCGAACCGGAGCAGAGATTGTTCCAATTGAGTGTTTCAGCTCCAACGATTTCAGGATCACTGAATCAGCACTCCAAGAAGCTTACCTCTCTGCCCAAAAGAGGAACTTGAAAGTCAAAGGCGTTCTAGTCACGAACCCGTCCAACCCATTGGGAACCACGTTGACCCGAGAAGAGCTGGACCTCCTCATCACATTCGTCGACGAGAAGGGAATCCATCTGATCAGCGACGAGATCTACTCCGGCACCTCTTTTGACTCCCCAGCCTTCATCAGCGCCATGGAGGTTCTCACGGAAAGGATTCACAACAAAACTGTCTCCCATGACAGTGTGTGGGGCCGGGTCCACATCGTCTACAGTCTTTCCAAGGATCTCGGGCTCCCGGGATTCCGGGTCGGGGCAATTTACTCGAATGACGAGATGGTCGTGTCGGCGGCCACAAAAATGTCAAGCTTCGGTTTGGTCTCTTCTCAAACCCAGTACCTTCTATCCGCCATGCTCTCGGACAAGAAGTTCACGAAGAAGTATTTGAGAGAAAACCAGAACAGGCTGAAGAATAGGCACGCGATGTTGGTGGCCGGACTCCGGGAAACCGGTATTGAGTGCTTAGAGAGCAGCGCCGGACTGTTCTGCTGGGTGGACATGAGACATCTCCTCACATCACAGACGTTTGAGGCGGAAATGGAGCTGTGGAAGAAAATCGTTTACCAAGTCGGGTTAAACATCTCGCCCGGTTCATCTTGCCATTGCACCGAACCGGGTTGGTTCAGAGTTTGTTTTGCCAACATGTCGGAGGAAACACTGAGTTTGGCCATGCAACGGATAAGTTCATTCGTAGCTACCCATTTGATCAGCTCATTGAAATTAAATAAGAACAAGAAGAAAGGATCGACCAAATGGGTATTCCGGTTATCTTCTAATGACGGTCACAGAGAACGGTAGAAATGCTGGGGGTAGGATTGTGAATAGTTCGTTTTTTTATTCAACCCAAAATGAGTGTTGGACTTTTTTTACTCAATACATTCTTGTTGAGTCATAATTCCTTCGATGATGCAATCTTTGAGACTAGCTTGAATAGAAAAATACATCCAAATATATGCAAGCCTGCACTCATTTCTATTATAGTCTTGTTTTTGTAAACATTTGAGCCTAAATTGTACGGAGTAATATTGATAAACTAAAATTCAATTATTTTATGAAGTACTTTCTCCGTCTCTTAAAACTTTTTCAAGTTTGATCAGCATGAAAATTAACAAAGTAAAGACTGTGTGTTTGAGGTTGGTTTAGAAGAGAGACAATTTACTAGAGCCACAAAGCTAATGGGATATTCAAAAAATAGGCAAAACTTTAAGGGCTAAGGGAGTATACACAAATAGTACGAAGCTAGTGATAAGTGGTGACTTGATATAATGATATTGTGAATTTGTAATGATAAATAAAAACTGTTTAAATTGTGAATAAATGATACAAAATTAATTGAATAGAGTAATAGACCATTAATTAGGTATTAAAAGACTATATTAGTGGATTATATTACTTTATTGATTGATACTTGAAGCCACTCAACACACATATGGATTATTAGTTTCTGTAAACACAAAATAACATCACTCATTCACCATCACAAATTAGCTAACAACACTTTCCAAAATAGGTTCGGACCCTTAGAAATGAACTTCGTTTCCAAATAAATCCTTAATAGCCACAATAATACTTTGGGAGGAATTAGGAAAACTGAAGTGAGATCAAATAAAAAGTTGTGTTACTCTAAGTGTGAATGGTTGCACACTTGCACTAGTAAAAAAAAATTTACTAGTGCAAGTAAAAAAAATTGATAGACTATTCCACGTTTATGTTGCACATTTTGCACGCTAGTAAAAAAAATTAGTTTATTTATATATTGAGTTGCCATCAATTTTTCTTTATCAAAACTAATGCATTGTTGCCTTATTTTGAGATAGTAGATCCTGAATTAATGAAAAAGATTTATTCTCAGTTTGAATGGAAAAGTCTCTTTTTATTTGAACTCTTCCCCACAATTATATCCACAAAATAGTACCAAGCAAAAAGATTTTTTGACCAATGTTATTTTGTAATACAAAATAAAGTATTCACCAACTTGACTTTTTTTGATAAATAACAATCAACTTTGACCAATGTTATTTTGTAATACAAAATTATTTTGATTATGAAAATTATATTAAAATATTTCGTATTCAAAACATTTTACTGAAAGTATAAAATATACTCCCTTCGTCCCCCAATTAAGTTTCTGGTTTGGCGTAACACATATTAAGAAAATATATTTGACTTTACTGTTGAGTGCACGGTTTTGCATTGTTTAAACATTGTTTCACTGTATAATACTGTTTGGCACTGTTTGGCACTGTTTTGATGTAAATAATTTGCCAAATAAGAAAAGTATTGAAGTGTGAACTTAATTTAGAGACTGTCCAAAAAGGAAAGTGAGAACTTAATTGGGGGATAGAGAGGGTATGATTTATATGTAAATAAAATAATTTAAATTATTGTCTAAAATAACAATCAACTTTGACCATCATAAACCTTTTCGAGATAAAGCTACTACATATTAGCCACCCTTATATTTCATTCTTTTATCATCGATTTTTATTTCATATGAAACTCAAACTTCGTAAAACTTAAAATGATAATAGATAGAGGGTTTTACAAAAATAATACTAAAACAAGTGTAATTGAATAAAAATAGTACTTTCAAAAAGAACCAAAAATGAGACTAAACTTCTACCAGTGACAATCACCAAACACATCACTGCCCAATATGACCAATGACCAACCCAATCATAACTAATCCGATCGTGACCAATCCGACCATGACCAATCAGACTGTGACCAATCTGATCGTGGCCAACCCGACCATGACCAATTCGACCTGTGACCAATCCAACCATGACCGATTCGACCCGTGACCAATCCAAATAGTGACCATGACCAATTGAGCCATTGACCAACGCGGTCACCACCGTCTCCGACCACTGCCCAACCCGGTGTCAACTGCCAATGCCCCGCACCTATGCCTTCCTCAACCTCCTCCCCTGCCCCAGCCCCCTCCCAGACCACCACCCATCCTATTGACTGCCGCCTGCCTGCTCTTGCGCCCTCCTCATCCCCGTCCACTGCCCCCAACACACTTCCGGCAACAATGGATATCTCCAACAAATTTGGTCTCCGATAAACATTGTTGATATTTCGAAAATCAGCCTACCGGCTTCCAAACGACTGGAAAAATGGTTGGGGAGTAGCACCCTATAACGAAGATCCGCAATTTAGTCTCGATTCCAACGATGAGCAACAATTTCCAAACTTTGAACCAAAATCCAAGAAATCGTGGAAAAATCCAGAATCTAAAAACCCAAACAAGCAGTTCGTTTCTTGGTTTTATAGGCGCGTAAAGTCATCCCAAGCACAAATCCGAGATCGGTTGGGGTGGCTATGGAGATGTTGTAGCTCTAACAAGACATTTACAGCGGAAGGGGTGAACTTGGACTGTAGACGGGTACAATGGTTGATTATGTGTGTGTCTCTTTTTTTTCATTCCCGGAAATGGTCCTAATTTTTTCTAATTAAGTTTCAAATCTTATTTTTGACATTATTTCTAATAGATAGTGCATATTGGGAATACTTATTCTGGATGGTTTACTTTAAAATTTGCGATGAATTATCACACATGGTGGAATCCGGTAAGCTGTGATTAAGGTCTTGTGGTTGGCGACGAGCGCAACCAGGGCTGTAGGGTCATTTTCGACCACGGATTAGGGTTGTGGGCAGTGGGCATGGCTAGGAACACACTGTGGTGGTGGTCGGAAGGTTATTAGAGTGGGGTTGGGACAAGTGTTGGCTTGTTGCGACGGGAGCAGGGTATTACGACAGGGCCAAGAGCTAATGGGGTCTGGGGAGCTGGCGGATGGGGAAGGAGGCTAGGCTGGTGGGGCTGCTCCTAGGAGGGTGGTGATAGATTGTCAAAGATGGTGGGGGCTGGAGGGGCTGGGGACGGGAAGGGTGACATGGAGAGGGAATTGGGTTGTGGTGTTGGAGATGGTGATTGCCGGCGGTGGCGGCAGATGGTGACCGGATGTATCGGTTGCCAGTGGTGGCCTGCGGTGACCGGAGGTGTCAAGTTGGATAAGTATATTTGGTCAAACTAATAACCGTAAGAGACGGATCAGGTAATTGTAATTTATCGGTCAAGTAACTTTAAATAGTGGGTTGGATAATTGAAATTAGTGGGTCGAGTAACCGTAGATGATCGGTCGGGTAATTATAATTGATGGTCTGATAATTTTAATTTAACTACCCGGTAGGTCGCTATGAGCGGCGAGGTCACTAGTCGGGGATTCGCTATGTTGGTCACTATGACCGGCGGATGACGAGCACTTAGTCGTAGTGTACCTCAAATTAAATTCACTACTAAGGACTAACACCGTAGTATAGCATAGTAGAGTTCATATCCACAGGGAAAGGTGCTTTTTGCGTATGTGTAAGCGTAATTAATAAAAGTAAACGGAATGGGGGATTAGAAATTTTGATAATTGAGAAAGAAAATAAAATACTAAAATGAGGGAAACAAAATATCAAAGGTAATCAACCTTGGTTTTGCTACTTTCCACTTGTTAATATATTTTAGTCGATCATTGTTATATCTATAACTTATCCCCTCTCGAATACTCAATCGATGAGTATCTCCAATTCATCGAGGGTAGTTATTAAACAACGACCGTTCATTAATAACCCTTACTATTAGTCAAGTATAGAATACCGCCATATACCGACTTGATAGTAGCATTAACCTCTTTACTCCTTGATGAAATGAATTGAGATTGATAACCTCAACACAACGGTTTCGGTTTAACCAACAAAATTAATCCCTCTTAAGTTTATTAACCACGACCGTGCAATAATAAACCGAAGTTACTTACTTGTGAAACCATCAACAATTAACCATCGGTTCATTGATCGTTTCTAGTAGTAATTAATGTCGAGATGTTAACTAATTGTCATCTTAGTGATAGAGTTGTATTTTTATCATGTATTATTTCTATTTTAACTAGTTTTATTTTTTGTTGTTTGGAAAATTACACACTTTTGGTGTAATTAGTTAATTTTCTTAGATAGATGTAATTTGTTTAGATTAGGATTATTCTGAGCTTAAAACAGGTCAAGATCATCCAAAGGATCAAGTTTGGACCCCAAAAGATCAAGGAAAGTGCAAGAGGACAAGATCAAAAGAAGATTGAAAAAATATTTCATATACCCGGTCGGGTATAGGCAATACCCGATCGGGTATTGAGTTGATTCGGGTGTCAAAATCGGAATCTGGAGAGATCTGGAGAGACAAAAAAACGTGCAGGATTTTGAAGATTTGGCTCATACCCGATCGGGTATGCCTTCATACCCGATAGGGTATGTCTAGAAAAGTGATTTTCCGGGAAACTGCCTAAAATACCCGATCGAGTACCCTATATACCCGGTCGGGTACACCACCCTGCTACCTCCAAACACCTATAAATACACCCCTTTTCCTTCACAATAAGATCACCAATTCCTTTATACTCTTAAGCTCAGTTTAGAATAGTATTTCTCTATATTTCTTTTAGCATGTTTAGTCTCCAAATGAGGAGCTAAACTTCCATTTCTTGGTTTTGCTCTTGAAGCTTGTTGATTATTAAAGTTGTGAGTTATTTTCTTACTTTCTCCTCTTGATTATTAATTCTTCCCTTAATCTCATTCTATATTAATGTTGGAGGGTGGCTAAGTGACGATTAGTTAACGTTCCGACATTGATTATTACTAGAAACGATCAACGAACCGATGGTTAAACGTTGATGGTTTCACAAGTAAGTAACTTCGGTTTATTAGTGCACGGTCGTGGTTAATAAACTTAAGAGGGATTAATTTTGTTGGTTAAACCGAAACCGTTGTGTTGAGGTTATCAATCTTAATTGATTTCATCAAGGAGTTAAAGAGGTTAAATGCTACTATTATGACCGGCGGACAACGGTGGTCACTAGAGCGGTAGTAATTGTGGCGAGGATCACTAGAGCGGTAGTAATTGGGATTATGGTCACTAGAGCGGTAGTAACTATGACAATGTCACTAGAGTGGTAGTAACTGACATAGTGGTCACT